GCACTAAGGTGTATTGAAGACATTGAAAACAAAACAATGCCAAAACAAATCTTACAACGTGGGAATGGAGATAAACAGAATAAATCTTGTCAAGGGACCGAGAGACTTCAGAACAGGGTTCACGACAATGCCTATGTCGAAAGCAATGGTCGCGATGTTCCACCTCCAAAAGTCTGAAGGCTTAATTCAGACACGTTCACACTCCAGGCTTCCACAAAGTTGCCGGACGTCTGGCTGAAATGAAGGTACGGTAGGGATGGAAATCAAAGTATCTGACACCACCATAAACTTCTATGCGTGTTTAAGACCAGCAGTTCAATCGTATAATATAACTATGTAACGCGAAATGACCTGCAATTTAACCTCATAATTCTGATATGTCCAGCCTCGGAATGAAAATGCTCACCTTGACATTTCAGAATGTCCAATTCGGCCACCTAAGTACTTGTTGAAGTGCAGTCCACCGATATGCAACTGACTGGGAAATGCGAATTGCAATTGAACTAATTATGGTAGAAATTCCTTCAACAAAAGGAGGGAGTTCCAACAAAGAGGGAGTTCCATTTCCATCTGAAATTGAATAGACACAACAATGTGTCAAGGACAGGATCTGCACTGAGCCAAACAAAGAGTTGCTGTGCGCGAATGCTAAGTCCAAAACCTAATATGCGAATCAAATCACTATGATGAAGAATTTATCTCCCTCTTGTGACATCTGGTCAAATTTTCAGCATCACAACAGCGGGATATGCTTGAACTTGGCAAGCTACAGTAATGTACCCATCTTGCTTCACATCAAGGGCTGCCCACAAAGCGGACTTGTGTCCATGGAAGTCTATCTCCTCCAAATACTTCTTGAAGTCTTTCTTCGGGCCTGAGACTTGCAACTCTTGGATTCAATTGGGATGCCAAACACAAAGAAGTCGTCACAGAGAAATCATCAGTCCAGTAAGAAAAGCCAACAAGCAACAAACAGAATCGATTCAAAGAAATCAATCAGAACAAAATGCTCCAACTGTCAGAAGCGTAAACACTTGTCAATTGTCAATTGTAAATGTGTCTGGCGTTTCTCGCCCGGTTCCTCTTGTTTCATTTCAGCCTTTGCAGTGCTGCTGAGTCGCACATGCCACAACCAACTTTGTCCATGCCGCACTGGAAAGCTTCTGGCAAACTGCTATAGCGATTGAGACAGGCCCTTGGCACCGAGAAGGGGTAAACATAAATAAGCATAAATAACAAAACAAAACAAAACATGCATCAGTCTACATCTTCACAGTATTCCACGGTAATATCAGTAATGATCAGTCATTAATTAATGCATCCGCATGTGTGCACACCAATAGTACGATCCAACCATTCTGAATGGATAAATTCCAGGAAAATCCGTGGTTTGAACCTGGTGCCCAACAGACCTCCTGAAATTTCTCAACATGATCACCTAAATGCTCCAAGTCTCCCTCGAAACTTCATGATGGTATGGTAGCAAGACGGATCCCAATTTTCCAAGGTGATGAAGCCGCTATGCTCGAAATCGAGCTGTTTCCAAAGCCTGGCTGAGTGGTGAATCATCACCAGCGCCATTGTCAATTACAATGTAATACGTAGCGTATATGCATGATACATCATACGCGTAGTTTATATGCCAGATGCATACATGCAATATGTGTATATATATATATCATATAAGGTCTCTATAGTATATATAAGGTCTCTATACTGTATCTATACACATCAACAAACTCATGAACATGACCCTAACTGTGATGAGTTCTTAGCCAAAGTGACGTGGAAATATGCGAGAAGCCCATGGATCTTGCAGCACTGCAGAAGGGCACAAAGGAAACACGTCCGCTGCACGCAGGGTCCAGAAGCATACGCCAACCTCGAGGCAGGACAGCTATGATAATATATGATATCTGCCCAGAGAGGTATATGATGTGTTGATGATTATATCAATAAGTATATTATGATATATTGATACAGAATATTTCATACGTATGCATATGTACATACTGCATTACAGTTTGTTATACTGTGCTATACTATGTAATATTTTGTGTTTTTTTTAAAAAAAAAACTTTACATATACAGTGTTGTTATATAATTTATATATGTATGAAATAGAGTTGAAATGGATAGATATACCCAGACCTCGAACAAAATATCAAACTCGAACATACTGAAACTATGGTCAGGCACTGTGGTTTGACCGAAACCTTGCTGTCAGGAGGATTTATCATCATCATCATCACCACCATCATCATCATCAACATTATTCCTCCCCCAAACAAACAAAAGACTCACACCCTATATCCTTCCCTATCAATTAGCGTGGTAGTGGTTGACCTATCATTTGGGGGTTGCTGTCAATCTGTCTATAGGATACGATTCAGCATCCCCGCCACCCCTCACCCCAGTTGATCTCTCATTTACAGTAAGGGTTTTGGCGAATCCACAACGTGGACACAGTGACCTTAGTTAAGTTGTCTTGGGCAAACAACGGTGTCTGCGCGCAGAACTAGAACCATTGTCTGACATATCAAAGAGTTGAACCTGCGAGTAGAAGCGGCAGAGAAACCATCTGCAAGGAGGGTACTGGTACGGATCTTTGTTTGGATAATAGCTTGGCTGCCAGTTTCATTCGTTCTCCAAAATCTTATTGGGATCGAAACACCAAAAATTGCACAGGTTGCCGCCAAGTAACATCGGACAAGGGTTGTGTATTTTTGACGACAGCACTCCTGCCAAGCACTTTTAGTGTCTCACTCCAACTGAGCTCCAACTGCTTACCTACCTCAAACAGATCTGAAATGCATCCAAAAATATCCAAATAGCTGCTAATTGATGGCACTGGTAGTTCATAGCACAGGTCCTTGAACTCTTCCACATAGGCTGCTGCATCGTGCCCCGCCAGTTCTTTCTGCCTATGCCGGACAACATCTATCCGTAGGGACACTCGAATGTGTTTTGAATCTACAAGGTCAAGAACACTCCCAACGTCCTGCTTTTTTCGCTCATCTGGGTTTGTCTCAGATTAGGGTTGATATGGGTTGATCATCATTTTCCAGTTATAACAACTTTTGGGATCTTTTTGGGGATATCCCATTTTCACAGGGCACCCACGGCAGCAACTGGCTGCAACATCGACCCGGCGCCTATCCAGTGAGAGCAACTTGATTATGCTCTGGGCTCCATGGGCACTGGGCAGATGTAATCGACCTCATGCATTGGTTACTGGTTCATCATCATATTCCCCATTAAAAGATGTTAAAAATTAAACGATATTATGGGGAGATGCCTCATTTTCAGACACGTTAGACCGTGGTGCCTTGTCTTTGATGATGTGGCAGGTTGGGGTAAATCCTACCACAAACCATGTCGCTTTTCAAGACCTTACAGCCAGAGCCGGTATGGCAAAGATATACAAGAATAGAACTCTTTCTTGACACTTTGCTGTCCAAGCGTCGAACGGTTTTGGAGCTTATTGCAGAAGGCAAAACGTCCACCAACTTACTATACATTCTCATAGGTGGTGAGATCACTTATCTTTCCACGTCTTCAACTTCTAATTGCCTCGTTTGTTGGGGTTGAAGCAAAAAGACCTCCAGCAGAAGACTACTGTTCGTGTGCGCACAAAGGCAGTGACTAATGTTATGCTATTGGTTATATGATTTGCCGTTATATCCCATGTTATCCCAATTCAACATCTCCCAACATTTAACACATGTTGGAATTCCCCTCGCCTTGCCTTTCAATCTGGGTAGTTCTGGTGCCACCCCGCTCTGCGCCAGATCATCGGGAGCGGACGAAGAGGTTTGCCTTCCAGTGGGAAACCTTCACTTTTCGGAAGCCGTAGAAAACACTTGAAAAAACAATAACATGTTTAAAGCAAGCATGGTGAATCGGTGAATGTCCATTTCCAAGCTGATTCCCCAAAGGATATATGTAAAATTGACCTTAGAATACTCTTGACATGTTCTCTCTTGCCAGTCAAAACTCATCCTTATTCTTCAATGAGATATAGTGGCAGTATGTTCCAATTCCCAAAGCTCCACAGCTTTACTCAATAGATTATTCACGGATTCATAACACCATGGACAAATTATGAAAGTCTCGAAATGCATCAATCACGAAAGGTGCGAAGATCTGCCAAGTGGATTGGAAATTCATGGAAATTCACCAAGCAGATGTGGGTACCCACGTGGCTACCCATCTGGCTGCATATTATATATATCATGTTGTATCCATGGAATTCCATGGAATTCCATGGTGCACCAAGCTGCCAAAGAAAGAAGAGTCCGTCATTTTCTGCATGCACCCCTTGCGGCCCACCGGGCAGAGAACTCTGGGAGCTCCGGGTGGAACAGGAGACGTGGGAGGACTGGCGGCTCCATGGCATGATGGCGAGATCGAAGGACTGGTATCGGTTCAGTGGGGATCCAGCCATTTTCTGATGGGAATTCAGTGACTTCAAATTGATAAGCCTTGCATAGCCTTGCTGAACTATGCTGAACTTGCTGAATTCGAACGGTGGAAATATGCGGAAACGCAAATGCACAGGCATGTACACAGCCCAAGACTTCACATTTCACATTGGAAGCGAATCCAGAGTCTCGAAGACTCGAAGATGGACCCTTTCAAACTCTCCGAGATGGCCCAGAGCGGCGCAAACAATGTGAATTGACAAACTGAAATGACGAGGATCCGGTATACTGAGGCACCCGGACAGCCAGCTTTCTTGGAAGCTGCCAGCGTGTTGACAGCGCTTAGGCACATGTGCCGAAACCTGAAGACGCTTATGATGGCAGTTGGACTGCTGGAGATTCAACACCTGGTGATTGAAATGTTTGAAAATAGGGTACCTCTAAATCCTTCTTTAATCATAATGTTCCCTATGAAATAGCCATTCGGTATGACAAGCCAACAAATTGATCATGTGGACCCACGACCAAAGTCCCAGGCCTATTCTCCAGTTTTCTTGGGCTGGTGCAACAGGCGGTCGACCTTTGTCCTGGACAACGGCACGGAGACAGCTTCCGAATGTCCCATCTATGGGTGAAACACCATCACAGCATACCCATAGCATATTAACATAACATAGCGAAAAAGCAGGAAAAACCACCGTTTCAACATGTTTCAAGCACATTTATTGGATTGCTATGCTTCACAGCCGAGCTTAGAATCGATGGAACGCCGCTGCCAGGCCTCTTCGCTCTTCATGTGCAGATTGTGAATTTGACAAATCAGTTCCATTGCTCCAGGATCCTCCTCGCCCCAGCCGAAGCATCCCAGCAACCATGACTGGGGTCAAATGTTGCATGTCAAAGGGGGGATACTTAGAGATATATATATATATACATAAATATATGTATGTATGTATGTATGTATCTATCTATGTATGTATGTATGTATCTATCTATGTATGTATGTATGTATGTATCTATCTATGTATGTATGTATCTATCTATCTATGTATGTATGTATGTATGTGTCTATCTATGTATGTATGTATGTATGTATCTATGTATGTATGTATGTATGTATCTATCTATGTATGTATGTATGTATGTATCTATCTATGTATGTATGTATGTATATATGTATATATGTATGTATGTATGTATGTATGTATGTATGTATGTATGTATGTATGTATGTATGTATGTATGTATGTATGTATGTATGTATGTATGTATGTATGTATGTAATGTATGTAATGTATGTATGTATGTATGTAGTAATGTAATGTAATGTAATGTAATGTAATGTAATGTAATGTAATGTATGTAATGTAATGTAATGTAATGTAATGTAATGTAATGTAATGTAATGTAATGTAATGTAATGCATGTATGTAATGTATGTATGTATGTATGTATGTATGTATGTATGTATGTATGTATGTAATGTATGTAATGTATGTAATGTATGTAATGTATGTAATGTATGTAATGTATGTACTGTATGTAATGTATGTAATGTATGTAATGTATGTAATGTATGTAATGTATGTAATGTATGTAATGTATGTAATTAATGTAATGTATGTAATGTATGTAATGTATGTAATGTATGTAATGTATGTAATGTATGTAATGTATGTAATGGATGTATGCATGTATGCATGTATTTAATGTAACTGTATGTATGTAATGTATGTAATGTATGTAATGTAATGTATGTATGTAATTATGTATGTATGTAATGTATGTAATGGCATTAATGCATTGTAATGCATGTAATGCTGTAATGCCTGTAATGCATGTAATTCATGTAATTTATGTAATTAATTTAAAATGTCATGTAATGTATTTAATGTATGTAATGTTGGAATGTATGTAATGTCTGTAAAGTATGTAATGTCTGTAATGTATTTAATGTATGTAATGTAATGTATGTAATGTAATGTATGTTACTGTAATGTATGTAATGTGAATGTCGTGTCCTGTCCTGTCCTGTTCCTGTCTGTCCCTGTCTGCCTGTCCTGTCCCTGTCCTGTCCTGTCTGTCCTGTCCTGTCTGTCTGTCTGTTGTGTCTGTGTGTCTGTGTGTCTGTGTGTATGTGTGTATGTGTGTATGTGTGTATATGTGTGTATGTATGTGTGTGTATGGATGGATGGATGGATGGATGGATGGATTGATGCATGGTATGGTAAGGTATGGTAAGGTATGGTATGGTAAGGTATGGTAAGGTATGGTAAGGTATGGTAAGGTATGGTAAGGTATGGTAAGGTATGGTAAGGTATGGTAAGGTATGGTAAGGTATGGTAAAGTGTGGTAAGGTGTGGTAAGGTGTGGTAAGGTGTGGTAAGGTGTGGTAAGGTGTGGTAAGGTAACGTATGGTCATGTAATGTATGGTCATGTAATGTATGGTCATGTAATGTATGGTCATGTAATGTATTTGTTTATGCCTACGGACCGAAAACTGAGGTCGCGAAACGCTACTTTTTCGTTGCTGAGGTTCTTGATGCTACGCTGATGATGGGGTGGGGTGGGGTGGGGTGGGGGCAATGTTAACGTTCCGGTGTTAACTTGCTGAGGGTTCTTGATGCTAACGCTGATGATGGGGTGGGTGGGGTTGGGCATGTTAACGTTTCGTGTGAACTTGCTGGGTTCTTGATAGCTAAACGCTGATGATGGGGGTGCGGGTGGGGCATGTTACGGTTCGTGTGAACTTGCCTGAGGTTCTTGATGCTCCGCGATGAATGGGGTGGGGTGGGGGTGGGGTGGGGTGGGGCATGCCTAACTGTTCGTGTGAAACTTGCTGAGGTTCTTGATGCTACGCTGATGATGGGGTGGGGTGGGATGGGGTGGGGTGGGGCATGTTAACGTTCGTGTGAACTTGCTGAGGTTCTTGATGCTACGCTGATGATGGGGTGGGGTGGGGTGGGGTGGGGTGGGGCATGTTAACGTTCGTGTGAACTTGCTGAGGTTCTTGATGCTACGCTGATGATGGGGTGGGGTGGGGTGGGGTGGGGCATGTTAACGTTCGTGTGAACTTGCTGAGGTTCTTGATGCTATGCTGATGATGGGGTGGGGCGGGGTGGGGCAGTTAACGTTCCGTTTGAACTGGCTGAGGTTCTTGATCTACGCTTATGAATTGTGTGGGGTGTGTGGGTTGGGGTGGGGCATGTTAACGTTCGTGTGAACTTCCTGAGGTTCTTGATGCTACGCTGATGATGGGGTGGGGTGGGATGGGGTGGGGTGGGGCATGTTAACGTTCGTGTGAACTTGCTGAGGTTCTTGATGCTACGCTGATGATGGGGTGGGGTGGGGTGGGGTGGGGTGGGGCATGTTAACGTTCGTGTGAACTTGCTGAGGTTCTTGATGCTACGCTGATGATGGGGTGGGGTGGGGTGGGGTGGGGCATGTTAACGTTCGTGTGAACTTGCTGAGGTTCTTGATGCTACGCTGATGATGGGGTGGGGTGGGGTGGGGTGGGGTGGGGCATGTTAACGTTCGTGTGAACTTGCTGAGGTCCTTGATGCTACGCTGATGATGGGGTGGGGTGGGGTGGGGTGGGGCATGTTAACGTTCGTGTGAACTTGCTGAGGTTCTTGAACTTGCTGAGCATGCCTGAACTTGTTTGAAGCAGAATTTGCGTTTCGCCTAGGCGAAATACACATTTATCTTAAAAACCACCAAATTCAGACGTCTGAATTTCAGAGTTTTTGTGATCGCTGAATTGTGTTTTCGCCTAGGCGAAACGATGATTTTTTGAAAAAAAACAATATTTCACGACCTCACTTTCCGGTCCGCCGGGGTTGTTTATGAATTTATGTATTTATGTATATCTGTCTGTCTGTATATTTGTCTGTATGTTTGTATGTATGTATGTATGAATGAATGTGACAATATTCAATAACATAACATATATCCAAAAATTCCAATAGTAAACCCCAAGTGGTGATGTTTTCTTTTGCAACATCAGCTCTGCGTCAACATCCTCATCTCAACTGCCAGGACTTGCTTACGTAGCTCCTCCAGCCAGCGATTTTGCCTCACGAGATCCAGCAATTGCGGATGCCGCTGAAGGTTTGTTTCACCTTCTTCGAAATGGCTCAGCACCATGAGCATACTCAGCACCTAGGATGATCCCATGAAGGCCCATTTCGAACAACAAATATGTCTATAAATATGTAATATATATATAATATATATATATAATGTATTATATGCACATGATATCCCATGACATACCGTGACATCCCACGACCCAAAACACATCCTGAAACTGCATTCTCTGCTAGACAAGGCACTCTCAAGTCCTCTTTGCTTGCCCTTCGAAAAGATGTTTGGCTATTCCTTCACTGAAACCAGTCCCATCCAGCTTGGCAGACTCGCAAAGTTTGTAGGTTGCTGCATCTGAAGCAGAAACCCTAGCTATACATGACCTTATTTTTTACAAGGGTCACGGGATTTCTCAAAGTTGATGCAAACTCTTTAAAGGAAAGGTCGTAGGGCAACATATGGAAACATCAAGTCCCATCAGCAAAGGCCGTCGCCGTTTCGAGTCCTGATGAGCTCTGGGGGCGCATGAGGATCCTTCGGGGTGGACTGTGCCGACTTCAGAAGATCTCTCCTTGGAGCAGAAACTCTCCGCATCCGAGTAAGGTCTGAGAGATAGTGCGCGTATGTGTGTAATTATTCATTGTATAATGTGTTCAGACTCCAGGCTGTACATTTATTGATATTCATTGATATTCATTGATATTCATTGATATTCATTGATAATTGATATTCATTGGTATTTATTGACATTCATTGTATTTCTGTCTATACGACGTGTTTCTACTGGAGATTTTGTGCTGTGCAACCGCGAAACATGTTGCGCTTCAGCCACTGCTCCACCACCTGCTGTTCTTCACGACAGGCCTCATGGAACTCAGCACGACTGAGTTCTGCGTCCTTCTCCCGGCGCTCCTCCTGTG